CCCCCCCCATTTTGCTGAGATTAGGTTAATTTACTCCTGAAGGAGGGTTCAGTTATCTGGTTTTTTTCACAGTCAAAACTGCTTGGATCACTACTCTTTATTGGTCTGTGTAATCAAGCAAAATGGCATGCCCAAGTATATAACCCAGGTCATATATGCCAATTCTGATAATCAAAAGTGTTGAAAACAACATATAAATTAGAGTTTATATAAAAATATAATAATAATAATAATAATAATAATAATAATAATAATAATAATAATAATAATAATAATAATAATAATAATACATATCTATTACTTGACATATAAATCAAGATGAATCAGAATAAAAGTAAGCAGTATAAATGACTTGATCATTGCAATAGGTCAGTGTGTTCTCTTGGTTTTCCTTTCTGTGACACTGCAGTTAATACAGAGTAAACATTGGTGTTTCTGTTGAATGCAGGGCTCTTTCTCAGGAAGCAACTACCATGGTGGACAGGTAGGCAGTTTGTCTCTGACATTTACACAGATTGGTTCCTCAGGAATAAACATGCCTCAGTTGCCAGAAGCCATTAAATATTGAGTTCAGTTTAGTCACAGAGATAGGTAAAATAATTCCAGAGAGTGCACGGGGCTTTTATTCAATCACTCTTGACATTTCAGTTATACCCTTCTATAGACAAGAGCCAAGATTTTACCTTGTAGTTATAGAAGCTTTCTTGCCTTAAAAAATTACTGAAGAATCATTCACTGAGGTCATCTCACTGCATAAACCACCCATATGATGTGTGGATAATTAATCATTTGCCACTGCATTAGTAACTGTATAACGTTCTTCAGTTAATAATGCAGTTATGTGTATTGTCTATATTAGGTTCAGGATTTTTTTGCCATTTAAAATTTTTGATGCTATTAAAAAAATTATTTATAAAATTTTTGCATTCTTTTTACAGGGTTCTTATCCTGGAAGCAATCAGTACGGTGGACAGGCAAGCATATTTTCTTTGTTTTCAAGATCTTCTTTCTACTTGCAATTTATTAAACAAGAAATATCATGCAGTACATACACTGACAGTTTTTTGGGGTCATTTTACTCCTAATAAATATTTGAAAACAGGACTGTCAGTAGCTAGAGTCTACTTGAAATGGAGTAGCATGAACGAATTTCCAAATAAAGAAATTCTGTAGAACATAATTCAAGTTGTTTTACCTCAGAATGACTCTTATCTCAAATTATTATTTTAAGTTTTAATTTATATGAATTTTCATATTTACATTATATACTTGGAAAATTTGGTACAAATAGACCAATAGATACTGCTTTAAAAAATAAAAATTCTGGTCTCTTACACACAATAACACTACTTTCCTCTTCAGCTTCAACTCAAGACCCTTCCTGTTAAGTGTGTACCTTATGCAGACTGTTTGCCACTGATTCAGAAACGTTACTAGTGCAAACAGCTGACAGATTAAATGGATAACTAACTCATACGATGGAGCTTCTTTTTTATTAGTATTACTGTGTTTGCAATGTCTCACTCTACCATACTAAAAAAATAATTTCTTTTTACTCCACTGGTGAGCATTGGAGTTCAGTATCACTCTATTAAAAAGATAATCTCATGTAGAATGAAGAGGATTCTCAACAGCTGCAAATCAATTTTTTTTTTTATCCCCAAACTACCTATTTGGTAATATTAGCAATGTTTTTACAATAATACACATGATGCTCTCTGGACATGTTTGACATAGTAGAAAATCACAAATAAAGTAGATTGGTTTTTTTCTCTTGAATAAAGCCAAGACACTTTTGATCCATTTCTTTATGTAACAGAACAACCTCAGCAGGTGTTTTGTGACTGTTTTCCCAATTTACTACTTTCAGCTGTTGAAGAACTTAGAGGCATTGAAGTCAGAAGTCTTTCACTGCATCTTTTTAGATTAATATACTTTCCAGATTATGACTGAGATCTGTCAAAAGTTCTGTGATGTTTCATTCTGCACAGAAAAACAAAAATTAACTGATGTTAATTTTCTGTGTTTGTTTTGTTTTGTTTTTTTTAATAGGGATCTTATCCCTCAGGAAGCAGGCAATATGGTGGGCAGGTGAGTATTCTCTTTCCATCCCAGCACTTCTAACTCCTTCCTAACATACTTTCTAGATCAGGTCAGTTATTTGATGCTGATATATATATTAATTTGGCAATTTTATTAAGTTTAAACAGTGGAGGTAATATGAATTGAAGTTGTTTCAGTAAGGTGAATAAAAGACTTGGTTACAATGAGTTACTGCTCTGTGTAAAATATTCCTTTGAACATTGTAAAGTTGCCAGGCTATATTTCATGACACTGCCTGCTTGATTCAAATTGCCACTGTTGTGGTGTGGAGTACAGAGTGTAAATTTTAGGCACCCCATTTACCTTATTTGTTCAAAGAACACTCAAATAAACTTGTCCTAAGTACTGCAGAAATTCTCTCAAGACAGTAATAGAAGAGCTTTCATTCAATTAATACAAATTTGATTGACTTCTTACAGGGCTCGTATCCTTCTGGAGGCAAGCAATATGGTAAACCAGTAAGTACAAAACATTCAAATTTACATTTCTCTTTTCTTACACACCTGTTAAAAAAAACACTATATCAAGTTAGTTATGGACTAGACAGTTTTCTGAGAATTACCTTAACATGCAAAGAGTGTCACAGGAGTTACTTATCTGGGATACGCTCAATAAATGCAAACACAATATTTATTTTTTCACAGTTTTGAAACAGCATTTTACTATGCAGCTGAATTTGTAGTAATCACAGAAGGACACCATTAGATTTTTGTGTATGTGTGTATGTAAGAAACTTTTGAACAGCTATTTCTGTTTAAATACATAGTAATCATGCACTTCGTGCTCAGAGCTCACTTTTTCATTGATTTTGTATGAATTTCTCTTAAGTATATCTGTCTTGCTCAGAAGAAAGCACTTTTTCTTTTCAAAGGCAATAATAGTTGCCACTGAACTATGCATATATTCAACTTCTACCATTTCAGACTACTCTTTTTACTATGTAATTTGGACCATGCTCTTGCCATTCAATAGCAGTTGATACAAATGTTTTAGCTTATCTCTTACAGAAAAGATGTTACTTGTTATTAAACAGTGGCTATAAATGTTACATTTTCTAATACATGAATCCTAAAGGCGAAACATTTTCTGTACCTATTCAATGGCATTTCTTAAAGATTTAATGTTTGTAACATTATCAAACCCCAGATTAGGCAGATAAACTAAAATCCTGTTGGCAATGCCATTCAAATAAGCAGAGCCACTTCACCAGAAAACTGATTAAGATGCTTTCAGAACATCTAATTTTTCTGTACCCACTTTTATTTTCAACTACCTTTCTTATTAGCTTTCTTTAAGCAGGGGCTGTAAAGGCATCTTATAATTTACCTTTTTTTGTTGGAGGTGTCTCTTTTTTCCCTCAAAATAACCATAGACTAATACCAGGAGAATGATTGTTTAACTGGACCTTATTACTTTTCCCATTCCATATATTAAACACAACTATAAAACTGTTTCTTCTTGAGACTTTTGTATTAAATTGTCCAATACAACATTTGAAAGAACGCTCAGAAAGATGTTAAATATTTGAATTTCAGATAAGGTTTTCCTTGGGATTTTTGGATGACTGGATGCAAAACAGTGTTCATTCTTCTGTGGTCTTTAATTACAGATAGCAAAAATATTTAAGCACAAATAGACTTAGAGTCAAAAACAGGTATCTTTTTTCAGGGTTCCTCTTCCTCAGGAGGCAGTCAACAAGGAAAGCCAGTAAGGATATTCTTCTTTCAGTATTCTGCAACCAAATTAGAAATGGGGATATTGGGTTTTAAGACAGATAACAACAATAAAGGTGACATTTCAAATTATGTTGAAATGGTAAATGTATGAGAAAAAATACCAATAAAAATTGGAGTATTTTGTTCAAACCTGCACCTTAGAATGAGGCAGCATTTATTCCTCCCACAACAAAGTTTTGACCTACTCTGTTTCTTACTCATAGGAACATGCTTGGGTCATTCTAGTAGGAATGATGTATTTAAATATCAGGGTAATTGTTTCAGTTACCAACTCTGTAGCTCAGACAAGACACGTTGCTTTGACCCATCCCTCTGAAACTCTTCATGTAATGAAAAGAACATAGCTGTGCTTATTTGAGACCATTCAATTAAAAAGGGGGGGGGAAAGTGCAGTGAAAATGGTAAAATCAAGATCAGACTGGCTAATACCCAGGGCATTTTCAGAACTGCTGTGTGTTCTTTGGATGATGTTCACTGCAGCCTTGTATGACAAAATTAAATGGTTCATATTACTTCACAGGGTGGCTCTAGCTCAGGAAGCACTTACTCTGGAAAACCGGTAAGAATATTTTCATCACAGCGCTTTAATCTTCTTTTCCTAGTAAACAAAGAACCTGGGTGGTGGGCAGAGAAATTTTGGGATGATTTGGTCTGAAGAAAACATTCTGTATTAATATTAGTTCAACCTTCCTCTTGAACAATTTAAAACCATGCTGTGGGTTAAGCTATTAAAATCTCATTGATCACAGGAAAAACTGTGTTCAAAACCATTGGCTAGAAACACCTCTATAAATTTATTTGTTTGTTTGTTTTCAGCACTCGCCTTACTCAGGCGGCAGTCAAGTGGTAAGAACTTTTCCTCTTTGTAGTTTCTACTGGTTTCTTCCTTCTAAATGTCACAGAAAACTGAAATCTGTCAAATTTCCTACATCTGAATAAATGTTTGAGAACACATGTGCAACATAATAAATGAAATAGTCTTAACAAAAATGAAAAGAAGTGGGACCACACAGGTGCTTTATACTTTTGACCATGACAATCACTGAAAAACATGTGTTGATATGAATGTGGAACATGATCTTTTGACATCAGGAATGTCTACATAATAGGTGGGGCTAATAGAAAAAGATTTTTGTGAAAATTTCTACACTTTTATAACAGCAATGGAGAGAACTATTTAGAAATGGGTTTATCAAATTTCTCTCTTATTTTTTTATAGAGCTCTGCTGGGAAACACTCCGCTCCCCAACTCCTGATGTTATTCAGCATTTTGAGTGCCTTTGTTCTCTCTGCTGCTGTATCAAAATGGTCTATATGAACTTCTGAAGTATTACTTGACATCCCAAACACGGATTATATTCTGTATTATTAGATTACTTAATGTAAAGAAAAAAATACCATTAAGTCAAATTGGCAGATGCTACTTGGCTGTTATGTTGCATGTCTAGCTGGTATGTCATGCCCCTCATTAGTTTACCTCTGGTTTTAGTCATTAGTAGATACCATTAGTTGTGTCAGTGTTTTAGGCATCATTTTAAGAGAGCACATTATACCGTACCTATATGATTTATTTTTATTTCCAATAGTGAATGCGATGAACACTTACCTGAAATGATTGGTGTGACAAATGAAAACTTAGGAAATATTTGGTTATTAACCAAAAGTAGACAAGGTGAAATAAATTGTTGTAAATGCAAACTGAACATTGTGCCTGTTAATCATCGCATAAGACAAGGCTAATGTAAACTTCTGATAAGCAGTTCTCCATGGGACAGAAGAAAAGATGCTGAAGTAGTATCAGAGTATTAGTTTTAGTCTTTTGTAATCTAATGTAAATTCAATATGGAGATTGCAAAGCAAAAAAAAAAAAAAAACAAAACCAAACCACCAAAACCCAAAAACTCCACAGGACTGAATTTTTTTGGGTTAATTAAAGTTTATTAATTAGAAAAATGAAACAGCTCAGAGCAAAGACATTATGAACTCCATCCAAACCAACTTCAAATACACAGAATTCTGTAGAGAAGCATATGAGGCAAATGTATCCCAGATTAGGCTGTTAAACTAAATCTGCTGAAAAAGAAAGTGGTTTTCCTTGGAAGGAGTAGAAAATTAATTAAATTAATAGAACAAATACCATCTTGGCTCCTTTTTCCAAGTATTTAATCTAACCTGCGATACCTTGTATATCTGAAAGGTTAATTTCATGAGTGATGCGTACATCTGCAAGCAGGTACATCACTGTGTTCGCTGAAGTACCAGAGCCCATTTTTGATTCAGGAGCAGTTCCACACCTTGGAGCAAACCCTTTTGGAGCTCTCAGAGCCACCTTCTGTTTAGTGTTAACAAAGCGCATTCACCTAAAGCATACTTGTAATGAATGCGTTAGTGAACATGTGCCTGCTATTAAAATTACCATTATTAGTAGCGTGCTTCTCTGTCACGGTTTACAATTGTAATTGGTGGGAGAGGTTTCCATGCAAGTTTTCCTGCCAACTTCCGTGGGGCCAGGATTTCACCCGGTTTTGATGTGCAGCACTTTGCCACCCATCGGTAAATCAACCTGTAATTGAAGCACAAAGTTATGTCTTTATACAATCTTCAAAATTTGTTTTGACAATTTGTTTCTTCGGACAGCACAGTAACGTTCTGTTTGAGAGGTCCGTACCTTAATTTGAATCAGCCCTGCCATTATCTAATAAATTTGTGATGGGTTTCACACAAACGCTTGTGTCAGTGGCTGCCGAAGTTTCCCGTTCGTGGTTTGGGGGGAACACGGCCCGTGCCGCTGCCCGTGCCGCAGGGACTGCAGGCTCCGGGAGCCGCCCGTGCCCCGCTCCGCTGCCCCTCATG